CGACTCCATCTCCACGTCGATGTCGACCTCCACATCCCCCTCCCCCCCCTCCTCCTCCTCCTCCTCTCTTTCTTCCTCTTCCTCTTCCTCCTCCGCCTCCGCCGCCCGCCGTGCCTGCGCCCGCGACAGCCGCGTCGCAGGCGCATACGCGCTCCTCGTCCGCTTCGCAACGCTCTCGCTCTCGCTCCCCGCACTCCCACTACTCTCATCGAAGCTCCTCTTCGGCGACCGCTGCACGCGTGCCGGCGGCCGATTCGTACCCCCAGCGCCAGCCCCAGCGGCGCTCCCCTCCGCCAGCGCCGACGACGACTCGGGTAGCACGGGCGACGCGGCCTTGGTGGGGGACGCGCTCGAGAGCTTCAGCCGCACCTTCGGCACGGGCTTCTTGGGCGTCGTCTCGTCCGTTTTGTCGCGCTTCTTCTTGTTGCGCTCCTTGGCGTCGAGCTTTGCTTGCTTCGAGTCGGCGTAGGTAGGTGAAGGCGGATACGGGTGCGGGGGTGTCTCGCGCACGACGGGGAGCCCCGTGTGGGGGCCCTTGAGGTTGCGTATCGAGGAGAAGTGCTCCCAGTCATGATATCTAGATGAGGAAAAAGAAGGTTAGCGAAGGGCGCGACGGGGGGCGAGAATGATGCACAGGGCAAGATAGATAAGAGCGAAAAGAGAGACAGACGAGATGAGAGAAACAATAAAACGCCGTAGAAAAAAACAATGGGCAATATCGCAATCCAAAAGTGCCGCAATGAGGCGAAAGACAAGTAAAATCAAGGTTATGATGAAGGGTGAAAACGTGGGCGTGGAGGACGTGGAGGTAAAGAGAAGGACGGGGAAGGCGATGACGTGGCACAAGGTGGGGGAACGGAGGGGTAGGAGAGGGGAGGGAAAAAACACCGACGAAGGAGCGGTAGAGTGGCGAGGAGGGAGTGTAGAAACGGAAAGAAGCCAAAACCGGAGGGGAGAGGGCGGAAGGGAACATGTGTGTGATAGATAGCGGGTAGGGAGTAGGAGCGACAAGGGAAGGAGGGATGCATGAGCGACGGAGAGGGGAGGACGCGGAGTACGGGAGGTGAGGCAAGAAGACGGAAATGGGAGGCGTGAGGAAGCAAGGAGGGGCAAAGATGCGTAGAATGGGCGGAAGAGGAGTAAGGAGAGGATGTAGAAAGGGCGATGCGAGGTCATACGTCAGGTAGTGGGTGGGAAGCAGGAACGGGGAAATCGGAATAAGGAGGACGGGTGACGGAGATTGGGTTCGGAGTAGGAACGACGCGGGGGCGGACAGGATATATGTGGGGGTGGATGTATGCGCGCCAAAAGGGGGCGGAAATGGAGGGAGAGACGGGAGGAATGGGTGGAGGGACAGAGGACAGGTGATGGAACGAGAGGAGCGGGAATGAGATGGAATGCATATCCGAGTGTGCGTGCATGGTGGGGAAGGGAGAGGAATGAAACGACGGGTGGGAGGTGGGCAGCGACGGGTAGCGATGAAGGGAAGGACAAAGGGAGAGCGTGGGGGCAAGCAGGATGTATACGTGACGGGGGGGTGAATATATGCGGGGTGGGGGACTTCACGGGTGGATATATGCGTTGAGAGTGAGAAAGGGTGGATGTATGCGTGGATGTATGCGTGGTGGGCGGGGAAAGGGAAGGGAGCAAGACGAGAAAGGGTAAATGGCAGCGCAAGGGGTGGTAGATGTAGACGACTGCTGGGACGCACACGTCGTGGGCCAGGAACAGGAAGAAGGAAGGAAGAGGAAAGAGGACGGGGAGTGGAATGTATGCGTGGTGGGCGGGGGGAGCATGGAGACGACGCTCGCAGGAAAGGAGAAGGGTGGGTGGATGTCTACGTGATAGATATATGCGCGGACGAGTATCAAGTCTTGGGAACACCATCGCGGGATAACAGGCATAACAGGCACAACATCATCAGGCCCATACCGAGCACGGCGGCAGCATAAGCGCACCACCCCCAGAAAACGAAAACGAAAAAAAGGACGAAGAACGACACCGCCGCCCAAGCACCGACACCATCATGGAACGCGCAGCACCATTACGGCATACCGCAGCGCAGGCACGGGCAGCGCGCGGTCACGCCGCCTCGCCTGCCGCGTACACGGTCCGCGCGCGGCTCGTGCACGGGGCTCGCGGGCGCAGCAAGCACAAAAAAAAGAAAACCAGCAAGAGAAGACACTCACGCAACGTAAATCGTCCCCTCCTCCCCCTCCTCCCCCGCCGCGGGGCCGTCGACGTCGATGACCTCGTCCGCGCGCGGGCGCTCCTTGTCTTTGTCTTTGTCTTTGTCCTGGGGAGGTTGTCAGCGGGGGGGTTATGCGATGAAGAACTGGGGAGGGGAGGGGGGAGGAGGAAGAGGAAGAGGAAAGGGAGGAGGGAAGGAGGAGGGACGGGGGAGGGAAGGAGGAGGGACGGGGGAGGGAAGGAGGAGGGAAGGGGGAGGGACGGGGGAGGGAAGGAGGAAGGGGGGAGGGAAGGAGGAAGGGGGGAGGAGGGAAGGGAGAAGGAAGGGAGAGAGAGAGAAAGTGAAGCTAGGAAGAGAAAGGACCAGATAGTGGGAAGGATGGATGCAGAGCAAGGTGGAAGATGGGGGGTGGACAGGCAACAGGGAGGGGGAAGGAGAGACAGAGGGCAAGGGAAGAAGACAGAGGGAAGGGAAGGAACGACGGAAAACGGGGGGAAGGGAAGGAGGGCGAGATAGAGGAAGAGACGGCGGGGGGGGGGGACAGAGCAGGGAGGGGAGGGAGGGGAAGGAAGGGGATCAAGAGGAAGGAGGCGGGGAAGGGCAAGGGCAAGGAAGGGCAAGGGAGGCGGAGGCGGGGGGCAAGGGAGGCGAAGGCGGAGGGTAAGGGAGGCGGAGGGAGGGGAGGGGTGGGGACGAGGGAGGAAGACAGAGGACGGAGGGGGGAGTGAGGGAAGGCAGAAAGCGAGGGGAGGAGGAAGACGAGAGAGGGAAGGGAAGTTAGGAGGAAGGAAAGAAGAGGGCGGAGGAGCGACGACAGAGGAGGGAGGGAACGGGGAGGAGTGGAAAAGGACAAGGGGAAACGAGGGAGGGGAGGGAGGCGCCGGCAAGAAAAAAAGACAAACCTTACGCCTCACCCTCGCGGTCGACTCGAGCGACGACAACGACGACAGCGACGACGACGAGGCCGAGTGCGCCGACCCTGCGGGTGTCTGTGCCTGTGCCGCCGACGTCAAGTGCGATGCCGCCGATGTCGACGCGTGGCCCTCAAAAGCCGCGTGCGAATGCGGGGACGCAGGGAGCGTGGGCGAGGGCGGCGCGCCCGAGGCCCACTCGATGACGTAGACGAGCCCGGGCTGGATGACCTTGACGTTGCGCCGCGTGAGGTGCGCGAAAGCGGAGAGCTCCATGTGCCCGCCGTAGGTCGCTGGAGGAGCGTGTCAGCATTGGTATCGATGTGCGTGAGGGCAGAAAAAAAGAGAAAGAAGGGAGGAAAGACAAAGGAGGAGAAATGTCGGATGTGGCAGGACGTAGGAGGGGAGGGAGGGGAGAGGAAGGGAGGGATGTGGAGGGGTGAGTGGGTGGGCAGTAGATGGGTGTATGCGGGGTGAATGTATGCGTGCTGGGGTGGAAAAGTGCATAGGGACGTGGATGTATGCGCATCCAAGGCAAGAGAGAGATATGGGTGGGGATCCTGAGGCGGCGGGATGCATGAGGGGGGCGGCGATGCGCGGGGATGGGCTATATGCGTGCTGGGGGGGAGAAGATGCGCGGGGTGATGGGGTAGATACGTGGGAGTGGATTTATGTGGGTGGATGTATGCGCGTACGAAAGACGCAAGGCCGCAGAGGTGGATGTATGCGTGGATATATGCGATTCTGGAAAGACGACAAAGAAGAAAGAGGGCCCTGCACGCAGATGGGGAACGGGCCGTTACGGCAGCGTGGGGTGCCAGTCGTGGGGGGCACTAGGGGCACGGTCACGCAGGCGCGCCCGCCTCGCCTCGCGGGAATCGAACCGAAACCGAAACAACGCAACGAGGACTCACCGTTCTCGCGCATGCAGCGCAGATGGACGTCGAGGCCGCGCTCGTCCTCGACAAAGGGCTCGTAGCGGGCCTTGTGGCGGGCGATCCAGTCGCACACGTCCTTGCGCAGCTGCGGGTGGCGGGACGGAGAACCGTAGAGCTGGTCGGAGAGGGCGCGGAAGAGGCAGTTGCCGTCGCCCAGCGTCGGCGCAGCGTACAGCCCCAGCGAGCGCAGCTGCTCTGTCAGCAGCGCGGTGTTCTGCAGCGGGTCCGAGAGGAGCTGGGGCGTGTCAGCATCGAGGCGTGCAGATGCCCGGGCGGCTCCGCGCTACTCACCCGCGCCTTGCTCGACCGCGTCGTCCGTGGTCTTACTGCCCCCCAAATCAAAATCAGCCCGCGAAAAAAAGGAGTGAGGCAGACAAAAGACACCCACAAGACTGGAGCTTCTTGGATGTCTTCTTTGGGGTGCCCATGTCGGCGGGGGAGCAAGGTCTAGGTCTAGTAGGGCGTGTGGGCGGGGAAGATGGTGGTGGTGCAGGAGAGCGGAGTTTGAATCGGAGCTCGGAGGGGGCTGTGCCGCGTCGCCGCGAAAGGAAGTCTGTGTAGGCTGTCTGAGGCTGTTGAAGTGGGGCTGCGCGGGGGCGATGTTGGCCGGCGAGAACGCGTTCGAGGACGATTTAGTAGTTGAGCTGTATTGAATTGTCTATTGCGCTTACGGGGATTTGGTGTCTCCAATCACTCCACCCACCATCATCTCATCATCTCATCTAAATCATGTCATTGTCATTGTTTCTATGCCGACTTATTGTTCGCCCTTTTCCTGCTTCCGATTTTTCACTGCTGCGATGAGGCTCAGAATTTTGGAATTAATCGAAATAATCCCAAGCCAAGGGTCCGACTCCATTTCACCGTTCTAGCCTGGCCTTCCTTTCTTCTTCAACGAGCAGCTTCTTTGAAGAAATAAAGAAAAGGTAACGCAAGCAGCAAAACATTCAGCTTATACTATGACCCAAGCCGGAGTCGAACCGGCGCCTGCTGCATGATGTGTTCAAATGTTCGCTGAACAAACGCAGCTGCAAGACCACTCTGCCATTGGGTCGACACCTCAAACCCTTCCTCAAAGCCTTATATTCGATACCCAGGAACTAACTGCCATGGACAACAGACTCACTTGGCATTCGACGTTTCTCCACCGCTGTTTTACGATCTTGGCGAAAACGCGGCTCAGATATCGATCTTGCCGCCGAGCGCTAATCATGAAGGCGGGTAACAAAAAGTAATAATAGCCGTCAAATTACGACTCGAGCCGGATTCGAACCGACATCTTCTGCTTGGATTCCAAGAGTTGAACTAGTCTCAGCAGATGCGGACCTTCCGCCACCGAGTCATCCTCCAGCCCAGTTGGTACTTGAATATCCTAGCTAAAAACTGTGAGCAAAATGAAAAATCTCGTGGCTGGGACTCGAGTCGGATTCGACTCGGCACCTGGCAGTGGTTGTGAGATAACCTTAGCAGATGGACGACGGGCGTCCCGCTACCGAGTCGTTCTCCTTTCTATTTCCTTTAACTATCTTATTCAACAATATTTCTGCCCGCAAAACAAAAAACAGGTCCCGATACCAATCATGACTCGAGCCGGAATCGAACCGACACCTTCTGCTGGTAAACCGCTTTCAGCATTTACACTGCGCAGACGCGGACCTTCCGCCACCGAGTCTTGTTCCTACCAGGGTGGTTCTCGAATATCCTGGACAAAACGGTACTCACACAACCAAACAAAGATATTCAACTTGAATACCTTCCTGCTTGTTTGATGTACTCTCGACTCCAGACTGCGCAGTCCGAAACTTCCACCGTTTAATCCACCATTATTTCTTGACTATCCTAGATGAATTTTACTCGCAAAACGCAAAAAGTGGACAACATCAGAAACCATGACTCGAGCCGGAATCGAACCGACACCTTCCGCATCGTAAGGGTCCTAACTTCGCCCGACAATATTGGCAGACGCGGACCATCCGCCACCGAGTCGTCTTACTTCAAAGTCGATTCCTCAGTATCTGGGTTAAAATCTTTGGCTCTGGCTTTAGGAACAAAAAAAAAGAGTAGGAGAGACATTAATAATGACTTGGGCCGGAATCGAACCGACATCTTCTGCTTGCAACTTCCCACAAGCCTACAGGACGCAGATGCGGACCTTCCGCCACCGAGTCTTTCTTCTGTGTATGTGATTCTTGAATATCTTAGCTAAAACTCTGCTCGCACAACCAAAAGGTAGTCTTCAACCCACCACCGGATGTCAAACATTTCGTACTTGTATAATCGACCTCCTGTTTCACAGTGCGCGGACGCGGACATTGCGCCAACAAGTTGTCATAATGCACAGCCATCCTGGCTAAAACTGTGCGAGCAAAACAAATATCCACCATGAATCAAACATGCGGAAATGCCTTCGAGGTAGCTTCAGCAGACGCGGACCTTCCACCACCGAGTCTTTTTCCTCTGCAGGTGCTACTTGAATATCCTAAGCAAAATGGCGTTACTCACACAACCAAACGCTTTGAACACTTCCTGCTTGTTTGATGTACTCCCTGCTCTACAATGCGCAGTCCGAAACTTCCGCCGTTCAATTCACGATTATTTCTTGGCTATCCTAGATGAATTGCACTCGTGAAACACAAAAAACATGCAAAATCAGAAACCATGACTCGAGCCGGATTCGAACCGACACCTCCCGCATCGTAAAGGTTGCATTTTCAAATAATATTGGCAGACGCGGACCATCCGCCACCGAGTCGTCCTACTTCAAAGTTGGTTTCTCAGTATCTGGGTTAAAACCTCTGCTCTGGCTTCAGGAACAAAAAAAGAGTAGGCGGCACATCAATAATGACTCGAGCCGGAATCGAACCGACATCTTCTGCTTGGACGGAAATGCCTTTGAGATAGCCTCAGCAGACGCGGACCTTCCGCCACCGAGTCTTTTTCCCTTGCAGGTGCTACTTGAATATCCTAGGCAAAATGGTACTCACACAACCGAACGTACTCCCTGCGAGTCTACAATGCACGGTCCGAAACTTCCACCGTTTAATCCACCATTATTTCTTGACTATCCTAGATGAATTTTACTCGCAAAACACAAAAAGTGGACAACATCAGAAACCATGACTCGAGCCGGAATCGAACCGACACCTTCCGCATCGTAAAGGTTGCATTTTCAAATAATACTGGCAGACGCGGACCATCCGCCACCGAGTCGTTCTACTTCAAAGTTGGTCCCTAAATATCTGGCTTAAAATCTCTGGCTTTGGCTTTAGGAACAAAAAAAAAGAGTAGGAAACACATCGATAATGACTTAGGCCGGATTCGAACCGGCACCTTCTGCTTGTATAAGACCTCAGAGCTACAGTGCACAGACGCGGACCTTCCGCCACCGAGTCTTTTTCCTCTGCAGGTGCTACTTGAATATCCTAGGCAAAGGGGTACTCACACAACCAAACGAAGATATTCAAGTTTGAACACTTCCTGCTTGTTTGATATACTCCCTGCGAGTCTACAATGCGCAGCCCGAAACTTCCGCCGTTCAATCTACGATTATTTCTTGGCTATCCTAGCTAAACACAAAAAACATGCAAAATCAGAAACCATGACTCGAACCGGAATCGAACCGACACCTTCCGCATCGTAAGGGTTGTTTCTCTCAACATATTGGCAGACGCGGACCATCCGCCACCGAGTCGTCCTACTTCAAAGTTGGTTCCTCGGTATCCGGGTTAAAATCTCTGGCTCTGGCTTTAGGAATCAAAAACCGCGTTAAACATCTATGACTCGGGCCGGATTCGAACCGACAACTTCTGCTCGGATGTCTATATCCAATTCCACAATGCGCAGACGCGGAATTTCCGCCATCGAGTCGTTCTCATACGCAGCTGGTTCCTGAATATATTAACTAAAACCCCGAATCAAGCAAAAAGACTAGACCGTCGTTGGTATGGCTTGAGCCCATTCAAACCGACACCTTCTGCTTGGACGGAAATGCCTTTGACGTAGCCTCAACAGATGCGGACCTTCCGCCACTGAGTCCTTTTCCTACCGAGGTCGTGCCCGAATATCTGGACAACAATTAGGAACGACATGAAAAAAGGGTTCAAGACACGTATGACTCAGGCCGGATTCGAACCAACGCCTTCTGCTTCTACTGCCTGCTTGACATTTAGCCTGAGCAGATGCGGACCATCCGCCACCGAGTCGTCCTAACGCAAAGTTGGTTCTTGAACATCCAAGGTGGAATTGTGCTCAAAAAACGAAAACCTGCCAAAGGTAAGGTCGGATTATAGCCGGCATCTGTTTGCGTATGAACCCTGAACACATCAATGCGAGTTGAGCTCACCTCCATTCCACCGGTAGCCATTCCCCTAAGTACACAAAATAAAAGGTATTCAAATCTATGCATCTGACTCGAGCCCGAGTCGAACGGGCGTCTCCTGCATACAATGGATCCCTGAGGCAATTATCATCAGATTGAACAGGTGCGGGCCACCCCGCCATCGAGTCGGCAGGTACATTGCTTGGCTCTCGGGTAACTGTGGATCTTAGAGGATGATATTGTGTAGGGAAATCCAGTACCAGGAGACTGTTGTGTGCCGACGAAAAATGCAGCATCCCAGCGATTTACGCTTGTTCTTCAAAGTTAAATGAGCTCAGGTAGAGGGCGAGCTGAGAGAAAAAGATTATGAACCGAATGAAGCGCACAGCGTGCAGCGCGACGTCCTCCGAGGACGAAACCAAAATGGAAGCAGCGCAGAAGGGGGACGCTTCATGACGCAAGAGTTAGGACGAGGCTGAGGATCACATAACGTGAATTGCGAAAGGTTGAACTGGTAGTAGAATGTGCGGTGGTATTCCGAACACAAGATCTGGACCCAGTGGGCCACGTGCTTGCGCTGTGGTTTTTGCTTCTACGATCTGGCCAACGAAATCAAGGGAGATTGACTCGAAGTCATTGGGCACCTAGGAGGTTGTCAACCAAATTCAGATGTCTGGTGTTAGCGGGAAACAGAATGTTAGTGGAAAAGCCCGGTGTAAGAAACGGGATGCGGGGCCGAACCTTGACGAAGCGAGAAGGACGAACCCCAGAGTTTTGAACCACAACAATTAGTGGCGTGGAGAATGAGGTTTTCCCTCGCCGCATGTTGGCGCGCCACATGCACCGATGAAGTTGATGCGGCGAGCACACTCATCCGGTAGGTTCCTGCTTCTGTTCCTTTCTGGTGAGGCGTAGGGGTACTTGAAGGGACGTGGAAGCGGAAGGTGTCCGTGGTGCGGGCTTGTGCGGAGGACATACAGCTCCTTGCGGGGCACGGGTCGTGCCGCGGACGTGAGCTCGAGCAGACGGGATAGGAGGGAGTGCGAGAGCGGGCTGAGAGGCGCGCCGCACACTCGATGGCAGAACCCGGGGGAGCTCACGAGATAAGACGTCGGTGCGCGAGGACAGCGGAGGCCCGTTGGCATGGAATGAGGTCTTCATGTACGGGGACGCACGTGGTGGAACGCCATGCCAGGCGAGAGACTGTCAGTGTCACTACGCTGCTGGGCACGGAAAGACAGAGACGCACGCGGCGGCACCACTCTGCGTGGATTCTAGGCGTGTATTGATTCTTGAGTGTGAGACGCGATGGATGGAAAAAACCGGACAGGCACGGGACTGAAGCTTCTTGGATGTCGTCTTTGGAGTGCCCATGTCGGCGGCGGGGCAAGGTCGAGGTCTAGTTGGGCGGGCGTTGGGCGGGAGAGATGGTGGTGTCATGCAGGAGAGCTGCCGCGTGGCTCTGAGGCTGTTGAATCAGGGCTGCGCGGGGGCGATCGGATGTTGGCCGGCGAGGACGTGTTCCACGTTTTAGTAGTCGGGCTGTATTGAGTAGTCTATTGCGTCACTCCACAATCATCTCATCATCTCATCTGAATTATGTCATTGTCATTGTTTCCTATGCCGACTCATTGTTCACCCTTTTCCTGTCCGATTTCTCACTGCTGCTGAGGTTCAGAATTTTGCAACTAATCGAGAAATAATCCCAAGCCATGGGTTCGACTCCATTTCACTGGCCCCTTCCTTTTTTATTTTCCAACGAGCAGCTTCCTCAAGAAATAAAGAAAATGCGGCACGAACATCCCAATGACTCGAGCCGGATTTGAACCGACAGCTTCTGCTTGTAATAATACCACATCATAAAATCATATATTGAGCAGACGCGGACCATCCGCCACCGAGTCGTTCCAACACACAATTGGTTCTTCTCGTAGAAATGGCGAAAGGCTCCAGCGCGGACCGGAACCGAACTTTGAAACTTCCCCAAAATGTCTATATGCCGACTATAGTCACTGAAGCCTTCCAATTCAGTGCTAGTTCTTCACTAGCTCTGTTCAAAAATTCTGACGGCAAAACAAAACAAAAAAAGCATTTATTGACAATCATGACTTGAGTCGGATTCGAACCAACACATTGCTGTGACCATTTCTGACATATGAATATGAGACGCGGACGTTCCGCCACCGAGTTGTCATTCTACCCCGTCGTTCTTGGATATCTGAGTCTCAGGCAAAAACTCTGCTTCTGGACAACAAAAATCCGCCGGCAGCAAACTCTGTTCTTATAATTGCACAGAGATTTTCACCACAATGACTCGAGCCGGATTTGTACCGACAGCTTCTGCTTGTAATAATACCACATCATAAAATCATATATTGAGCAGACGCGAACCCTCCGCCACCGAGTCGTTTTCCTCTGCAGGTGCTACTTGAATTTCCTAGCTAAAACTCTGCTCGCACAACCAAAAGGTAGTCTCCAACCCACCACCGGATGTCAAACATTTCGTGCTTGTATAATCGACCGCCTGTTTCACAGTGCGCGGACGCGGACTTTGCGCCACCAAGTTGCCCTAATGCACAGCCATCCTGGCTAAAACTGTGCGAGCAAAACAAAAATCCATGTGAATCAAACATGACTCGAGCCGGAATCGAACCGACATCTTCTGCTTGGACGGAAATGGCTTCGAGGTAGCCTCAGCAGACGCGGACCGCGTCGTTCCATCTTACAGGTGGTTCTTGAATATCCGAACTGGAAACTGTGCTCGTAGAAAAACATTCAGCCCACCGCCGAATTTCGAACACTTCCTGCTGGTATAATCTACCTCCTGCTCCACAATGCGGGCGCGGATCTTGCGCCACGATTTGTCCCGATTGAAGTTACTTGAACACATTCACGCATGAAACTCTGCTCGTACGTACGTACCAAGGAAAAAACGACGAACGAATCAATGATGACTGGAGAACCGAAGCTTCTACTGGACTGGAAACGCGGACATTCTGCTACCAAGTCTTCCTCATTCAAAGTTGGTTATTGGACCTTTCTTTGAAAAACTCTGCGAGAAATAAGATAAAATCATAGAACGTGACAGGCCATGACTCGAGCCGGATTCGAACCGGCACATTTTGCGTGCACACTTTTCATCATCATTACAATAAGCAGACGCGGACCTTCCGCCACCGAGTCGTTCTCATAATTGGTTGGTTTGGGATATCTGAGCTGAAAACTCTGCTTCTGGGACGAAAAATATTTGATGAGGGCCGCAAGAAAAAGGGAATGTTGGCAATACCTATGACTCGAGCCGGATTCGAACCGACAGCTTCTTCTTGGACCGGCGTTGCCATGGTACCTTCAGCAGATGCGGACCTTCCGCCACCGAATCTTTTTTCTACCCAGTTAATTCATGAATACTGCTTCTGTACAGCAAAAATGCGCTACCAACGTTGAACGGCTCGGGCCGAATTCGAACCGACACCTTCTGCTTGGATCGGGAAGGCGTTGGAAGTAACTTCAGATGCGGACCGTACCATCCGCCACCGAGTCGTCCTAATCTCAGGTGGGTCTTGAATAAGTATCGTGGCTAAAACAGTGCTCGCAAGACAAAAATCCTTCCAGATTTATGACTCAACCCGAATTCGAACCGACAGCTTTTGCGTGCAAGTAATGCCTATTTCTCCGCAATTCGCGGACCTTCCGTCGCCAAGTCTCATTCAGCCGGAAAATGTTTTGTCAAAACAAAAATCCAACAGACATCGGTAACTTCTGCTTGTATCGCTTCCAAGATGTACACGCCAGCTTTCTGCCACAACCAAATCGTTTTGATACGCAGTCGCTTCTCGCATACCTCACCTAAACTAGGCCCGTTCCAACAACATCTAATACCGCGCCGGAAACTTGAAAGTAATGACAGCCGAAAGCCAGATCAGATTCGTACACTCTTAAATGTGCACTCAAAACAAATCCAACTCATGGGCCAAGTCGCCGTTTTGCCGTTTTGCGGAAGTACTGAAAGACGCGTGGAAATAGGGGCGCCTTCCAAATGCGGAAGGGCCGGTTTGTTGCCGGAATCCTTGCCGAATCTTGCCGAATCCTCTCAACTTCCACCGTCCAGTGTACCCGGGCTGCCCTCATGCAACTGTGTCGCCGCCACTATCAATGTTTCAAACTGACATGATTCATCGCCTCTGCGCCGGTAAACCAATCGTGGATCTTCTGCCGGGTTCGGAATGCTGTGTCCACTGTTCCGTGGCGCTGTAACCTGTTATTAGCCTAGTCGTGGGGACGTCGGACAGACGCGTAAGTATAAAGTGCGCGAAGAGCCCGCGAGCAATTCACAACGTCTCTTCCCAGCTCTCCTATCATGCCATACTTCTCAGTGCTCCTCACTGGCACGCTCGCGCTACTATCCGCTTCCCTCGGCGCAAACGCCGCAACGCACCAGGAGTTCGAATGCGCGGGGAAAGATTACACCGAGAGCGCGCTGATTGGGACGGGGCGGAGCGGGGGGTTCGTCACTTGCACGTACGCGGCGGCGGGCCAGTGTGCATATTCTACGGTAACGGCATCCACCCAACCCAATACAAGTCGCGGTTGGCTCAGGCAATTTTTGGTTCTCTGTAGGACGGGTATTTTTCCACCGGCTCCAGCGGATGCCCCGACGGCCTCTCCCTGGTGCAGGACGATGATGGCGAGATGCAGTCGGTTTCGTTTCTTGTTCTCCGGTTTAAAAAATACTAATCCCGAATGGCGAACAGCGCTGCGGCCAGCACGATATGCCCCCCGAGCGACGACGCGGGGAGCACGCTCATAGGCTCGGGCGTCAGCGGGAAATTCAAGACCTGCACATATAGCAATGCGGGCCTCTGCGTTTACTTCTCCGTGCGCTTCCTTTCCTTCTTTTCATGCTTTTTATTGACACTGATCATTATTTATTTATTCAGCACGGGTTGTTTACATCTGGGGGAAGCACCTGTCCGGACACCATCGTCCCAAGCGCGTGCGCCTGCTCCGCCTCAAACACCGCCGGGAACAGCAGTAGCAGCAGTAGCTCCTCTGGGCCGAGCGCCCACGGCGATGCAGTCGTCGCGGCGGCTAGCGCGGGCGACTCGGGCGAGAGCGGCGGCGGCAGCGGCACGCGCCCCGAGATCATCGCGCTCCTCGCTCTCAACGGCGTGCTCGTTCTCATCACGCTCGTCCTCGGCGCGATGCTCATCCGCGCGCGCCGCACCGCCGCTAAATCTGTGCAGGGTGGCGATGGATCACGGTATGTGTCCCATATAATAATTGCGTTGAGGTCTATGCTAATTTCTCTCGTGGCAGATCGCTGTATTATAGCGACGAGCTGGACAAGGACTCTGCGTCGGTGCCGCTCACGCACGGGACATACCATGATCCCCATGAGTAGGTCGTATTATATATAGGGCAATTATATTTGGCACCCCAAGCCATTCGACCTGAAACCTGTATATTCCCCGCCGGTGGGAGCTCATGGGGAAAATCTGCCCGCCACATGGTCCATTACTCCACCCCGCAAAGGCCGATTAGGATTCCATTTTTGACTTCAACTGAATCGTCCTGCTGTGTCAAACAAATTGAGTAGCTCCATAAATTCGTAGAATAATGACCACGTTGGCCGAAAGTAGACAACCGTGTCCGTCACCGTTCGAATATAGTGTATCTGAGGGATCCTTTTCAAGCGCAGGCGCAGAGACGGTTCTCGGGCGACCCATGAATATCAATTTTAACACTGTCGATTAAGTTTGCAGTCGCAATCAACACCGTCGGTTTAATCATGTTCGCCGGGCGTCTTACGACATCGATGGCATCCTGCATACCTGTCAAGAGTCATCTATATGGGGTGATGAGTAGGTGGCGTTCTACACATGCCATCCTTCATTACATACACGTAATATCGAAAAATTAACCGACCCTGCGTCGAGCAGACCCTCCAGGAGAAGAATACGGCTGCACCAAAACCAACGAGTCAGGATCCGGCGTGTGCTCTTCCTTAAAAGGGTGCGCGCCCTCCGGATCCGCAGACTCGACGCTCTCCGACCCGTCGTGGTCGGACCCAGCACACTTCTCGAACTTGCGCCGCTTCCTAGGCCGCTTATGCCCCTCCCCGCCTGACAAATCGAGTTCCCAGTAGCAGCCCTTGCCGAGTTGCGTCACGTCGCGCGGGATCTTGCGGAAGACCTTATTCAGAGAGAGATTATGGCGCACGGAGTTCTGGGGGGCGTCGAAATTCATTTAGGATGAGGGGGGACTAAGACGATACGAACCTTCCATGCATCATCTTGTCGGTGCTCGTGGAACCACGAGAAACGCGCGATTAGTGCGTCACAGATGCCCTGCAGCGTTAGCCGCTTTTGCGGGCTGCCGTGGATCGCAAGTTTTACAAGTGTGGGGAGGGACGCGAAGGGCTTCTGCCCTTCTGGCGGATCCGCGATCGCCCAGAGGTCGACCGGGATGCTCGGAAGCAGGCAGAGCTGCCTCCGCAAGTAGTCCGCCGCGTCCTCGTTCTGCGGCGGAGGGTGGCTTTCGGGGTCTGGGCTCCCAGCTCGCCTGTGGCGCGGGTTTTTCGAGGACGAAGGTTCAACCTGCTCGGGTTCGCTGTCCTAGATGCTGCGGGTGAGTCGGAAAGTCACAAAGTGCTGCCCCACGCACGGAATTGAGGATATTTTTCAGGTAATCTGCGCCCGTGAGCTTCCGCCGCGTCACGCTGCGCTTGCGTGCCGGGCCGGGTGGCGGACTCGGATTGGGGCCCAGACGGTACCGGTCCGGTGACGGGTGGCGGTGGGTGTGGTCGGAACGCGTTTCGGCGTACATTGGACGCAGTTGGAGAAGGTGGCAAGAGGGTGGGATAGCTTTGCAGGTGGTGGTGACTCGCTGAGAGCCGGGAATGATGCGCATCACAGCTTGCGCCCGTCCGGCGATGCGGGTCCGAATGCCGAACTGATGTCGCTTTTTATAGATTTCTTGTGTTCTTTCTTCGGTTCACGAAGCTGTTCACCCATCGGAGTGCAGAGTTTTCACCCGTAAATATCGCACCTTCAAAACTGGGGCTAAATTTGCTAAATCTGGATCAGTATCGCGGACTTTGGGTTGTACACCGCTCCCGGTGATGTACAGCGATGCCTCTATGATCAGCGCGGCCGCCGAGGGACTGACAGAGAGAATCAGAATAATGAGACAAGCTGCCAAATTCATTTACTTTCATCATTCATAATACGCTTAACAGACACTTCAACTTGACGCTCATGCCTGGCGCATTGAATGAACGCCCGGTATCTCTCAGGCCGACTCATTCTTGTAAAACGATTATTTAAATGTTTCTTTTTATGTGCCTGCAGTAAGGGGAGCTTAGAATCGTAGTTGACGGCAAGTCGCGGCGATGTTCCCACGGGTACCATCAATTCCCTTTTGGGACCATCACAAAGTTCTGCACAACCATCAGGTTTCAAGGTGGACACTGGACCCACCAAGGACCCACACAACGGAGGAGCTACTTGGACACCAAAATCGACCTAAAGCTGTTTTTTTAACTTAAGCTAGTTGAAACAAATTCTTAAGGGGAATGGGTGCAGACGAAAACAAAAGTCATATATTAATTCCTAGACGGGTACAACTTTCCAACATTGGAGAGATCTGAGACTCTGTTCCCGTAGTAAGATAGGGGCCAAAAAACGAAGCAGTGAGTGTACGTACGCAAAAGGGGACAAGTCGACTGGAAAGCCGAGATGGCGACCGCCGCCCGCGAAAGGAACGCACTCAGATTGACCTCCTCTTCCCTAGGCGAACCCGTGCGCAGCGCCTGGAGGGCGCGAATCTCGTCCAGGAACACGCTACACGCGGTAACCCACACAGTCTGCATGGGTTGAATTTATGTCAGTCATAATGCCACAGCGACTGGGACTCAAACGCACCCCCATGATCGGGTTGATGTATTTGAAATGGCGCAGCGGCACGGCCGCGATGATCCCGAGCACCGACCGCGCCGCCGCGAGCCGCTTCCGCTTCGCCCCGCCGTCGCCCCGTGCAAACGGACTCTGCAGCCGCACCGTCGCGGAGTGCGCGATGCTGTGCGCGACGACCAGTGTGCGCGTCATCGCCGGCGTGGGGTTCAACACGCGATTCGGGGGGACGAGCGACCCGCGGAACCGGTCGATCAGGCCGTCCAAATGCGT